GTTTTGTAATTACGTATAACGATCGATTTATTCTATATAGAAAATGATATCTCCAACTAGATAACTTGGGTTCTTGTTCAAGCACCTGAGTTTTAACAATAACATGTGATTGGACAAAAATCTCTGTCCCACAGTCGATGTTTTATAAAACCCCCAATAAGAACCTTTATTGTAATACCAAAGGGCCTTTGTCCTAGTCGTATTGTAGCATTTGGCCTTCTAGGAGGTCAGGGGTTCAAACCTCACCATAGATGAGAAGGGTGTGTGAGTTTATTTGTTGCATTTGCCGTATATAAATATTATATACTTCAAAAAAAACCTTTATTGTAGATACTCTTAGATTACAACCTAATAATATAAAATATTACTATAATTTAAAAAAGCAACACATAAGATGATGCAAGTTTTAGTAGAGCGAAAATATATATAACCATCAAGTTGGCACACGTATCGATTAAAGCAATATATCTTAGTTCATATCGTCAATAAAATCATGCATTAGCGAAGATAGCTGATATTACGTTCAATCTCATATAAACATGGTGAAGACTCAAAATTTTGAAGTGTCCAAACTTATCACTCGTTTTAAATATACTTATATTAACCCCAAAAACCGTCATCAATTCATCATTCAAACTTCAAAACATCCCGACCTATTTGTTTGTCGTCTTTTCTTTTAATAGTCATCTGCTCAATTTCAAATTCTTAATAGCCCTTTTTCCTACATTTTTAGTCTCATGATCATAAACTCTTTCTAAATTATATTTTTTTAATAAATTTAAAAGTTTAGAGGGCGTTTACCAAACACTTATCCGATAACCGCTTATCGGTAAATTTAACACTATCATTTACTTACTGTGCAACATTTTAGTCCATCAAAATGACATCGTACGCAACAATTTACCCGGTAAGCGTTTACCGTGGTAAGAGTCGTATCATTCACTTATTGGGTAAGACTCTTGGTCTTTATCTCGCTCTTACCGGGTAAGATTTTTGGTCCTTACCATATTCATTCGGTAAGGTAATGAGAGTTGGTGTTCACTTACCCGAATAAGCGTTTGATAAACAGCCCCAAATCGTTGTTTTTCGTTTTTACATTCAAAAACCAATTTTTTTTTTATCTTATTATATATATTCCAATATAAATAACAAACATGCTTACAAAATAGCGACTGGAATCTAAATGTAACAGTATTTTATTTTATACGTAAAATGCTTTCCACTTCCAACAACATTATTGTTGCATATACATATATTATTATTCATTATTTCAAATTAATTAGTTAAAAATATAATATATTTATTTATAAAAAATAAAAAATAAAAAATAAATTTAGGAAAATAATAAATTTAAATAAATATATTTCACTATTTATGACGAAAATGAACACACTCGAAAGAGAGAGAGAATCAAACCGCAGCAATGTGTTGTCTCTTAGCAGTCTTCTACTGTTCCTTCCATTTTTCTGTTTCATTCCTTGTCTTCTTGCTGTTTTTTTCATAAGCTTGAAACGGTTTCTCACAAATGTTTACTTTTTTGGAAAATCATATTTAATTTACATGGCTTTAGAAACCATAGTGATTATTTTATTTATAGTGAATTACATTTTTCGTCCTTATTGTTTATCAAAACGGATGGTTTTCGTTCTTTGACTTCACTAATTACATCTATGCCCTTGTGATTTGCATTTTGTTTTAGTTTAGATCCCTGCATCTGATGAGAGTTAAGAGACGATCTTAAGTCCCCTCTTATGAGTAGTATATGATGGGTATTTTGGTCATTTTCCAATATATCAAGAACATGAACCTAGATCAAACACACGTACCAAGAACTCAAAAGAACATATAAGATTATAAACGAATTTGTACAAAACCCTAAAATCAAAAAAATATTAGGACAAGCCGAGGCCATGGTGTTGACGGCTGTAGAGAAACCGATGGTGGTGGGTCCAGAACCCTGAAAGCAAAAAACCATGAACAAGATTGGGCTATTGAAAAACAATGGTAGGAACACTTGGTGGGTTTGACATATTTTTCGATTACCTTTGCATCTTCATCTTTATCGTTGCATCTTCTGCTTCATCTTCATCTTTGTTGCTCCCCTTGCTTCTACTAATTCATATAGAGAGTGTATCCCCTTGTTTTATTGTGTTGACTGACGGAGAGGAATTGGCCATTGATGGGGTTTCCAGTAAGAAGGGTTTTGATTCGGTTCGAGTCAAAAGCTTTCAATAACTATGGAACACCAACTTCAAATGCAAACCAAAAAGGATTTTGAATCTTTGATGGTTTAGTGTGGCGATTGATATAGGCGGTGGTGGAAGATGGACACGTTGTTTCTTCCTCCATGTGTGTGTATATCTTTTATGATTTGAAGATGAAAAGGATGTTGATGAATATGCAACCATGCTGGCGGTGGTGGAGTTCATTACATGAGAACTTTTACCTTATGGTTTTGTTTCACATGATTTTCCCCCGTCCAAGTATAGCATAAAATGTATTAATTAACATATATTTGTTTCACAGTAGGTTTGTTTCATATGTATTCTGTTCACAATGTGAAACTTTTTTATTTGTATAGTTTGCTTCACAAACACGTCAAAAATGTTCACATTGTAAACCGAGTACATGAAAACAAACACATTAAGAAACACATATATGTTAATCAACATTCTAAATCCTAGTCGTAGATGGAAAGAAAATCATATGAAATAACACATTATGCACAAGTTTTCAAAAAACAAAACCCAATCCCTAACAATTCTTCTCTCTATTCGACTTACTCATCTCACTTGCCTCTTATATGACCTCCTTCCCCTTCTCCAAATCTAAAAATCCGGCCACCACAATCGTAGTTCCGTTTATGGGTATGTTGAGTATGTTATAAATCAAGAAACACAATAGTAAATGAAGATGGAGGGAGCAAAACACAAAATTAATAAAGAAAGAGAAAAGGGGAGGTATTTACGGTTGTTGGGTTGAAGACGGTTGTGATCTCGGTTGAAGGCGTAGCCGGCATTTCTAGAAGTGATTGTGATGTCAAAATTTTGGGTCTGGTTTTGAAGAACAATGGTTAGCGAAAGAAGAAGGAAGGTGGAGGGGTGTAGTTGTTGGTGGCAAAGCACACCAGAAAGGGGATAATATTAGTACTGGAGATGGTGGAGTTCCGAATGCACTTTCATCGTTGTGAATACGATATATTTATTTTATAAAAGAAAATTAGGGAACTGGGTAAAATGACTCCCCTCTCTTAACGGTTATTCATGGTCCATATAACATAGGTAGTGAGGAGGACATTTTCAAAGCAAAATGCAAATTATAGTGACCATTTATGTACTCGTTGAAACGCGTGGACTATTTTTGTAGTTTTGTGTAAACCAAAAGGACCAAAATTGTAGTTTACTTAAATTTATAAATTGTGGAATTTATACCAAAAGAGTTTCACTTTTTAGTCAATTCAGACTGAATTTCATTTTGTAGCTAATCCTTACGACAGAAGGTTTATGTATATGTGTAGCAAAAAAAAAATGGAATCTTTATGTAAAAGGTGTAAAAATTGTATGAAGCTCTGAAAATAGCTACAAAGTGAAAAGAGCTTAGGAGATCTGCTATTTATGTAAACTTCTATAAATTTGATTCCAATTTTTTTATAGTTTATAAAATACTGATTAACCTTTTGACTTTTTTTAAACTAAACATTCAAACCCAGTAATACATACTTCTTTACTGTTGATTACCACCATCACCGTATGACCATCGTTTTTTTATATTTAAACAGGTAATAAAACCTTACTCTAATAATTTGAACACTAGAAACATCTGTTGTATAGCCTTTTAGTGAAACATGTACTAGACTCCCTCAATAAGCTACATAAACCCACTTTTCCAATTACATACTTACACATGTCAACATCTGATACAAAACAAATGTAGGAATTAATGGATGTCTCTACGGATCAACAGGAAAAATAAAAACAACTTGAAAAGAAAACAAACTTCAAACGTACACAACTTTAGATTGGTTAGGAGTTACGAGGTTCGTAACTTATGCACGAAAAAACACGACAAACGTCATGACAAACATCTCATGGCAGTTCGGCCCTACTTCCCTCCCAAAAGTCTTCATCCGAATGCATCTGACTTTGTAGATTCTGTTTCTATTTTATTTCAGTTAAAATAATCAGATGGTATTAAATCAAACGTTTTTGATCTTACACGTTTTTACATAAACAAGAATCAGTTATATATGCGTAATCTTGCTTATATTCAAGATCAAACTCGACTTTTTATCGATTAAATGTTTATGATTTGATTTATAAAAAGAAAAATTCAAAAACGATGTTACTGTTTGAAAGGAAATATAAAGGTTGGTTTTTTTTAGTGTAAACAAGTGATTGGTTGTGTGATATGCTTCCCTCTTTCACATATCTTTTGATCCTTGCTATGTTCCATCATACTCTTTTCTTTCTTTAAGGAAGAGACCACACACCCCATGAATGACCTCACATCTATGTACTACTACTACTCTCTTCCCTTGGAACTTGCTGCTACTATTTTACCCTTTTTTATTTAAAACTCCTTTATGGCATTAACGACCCTTTTTTAAAAAAAAGAATATGTAAAAAAAGAGTCTTAAAATAAATAACAGATATAAAGAGGTATTGTCTCAAAGTGGTAGACTGTGACTCTGATATTAAATAAAAATATGTGGAACCCCAGATTATTCTCCTAAACCATCTTCAACAGATTCTTTAAAATAGAGATTATAATATATATATATATATATATATATATAATGGTTTAAGAAAACAAATTGTTAATTAGAATGTGAGAGTGTTTATATATATAAGTTTCTTCAAATCAAACATCCACACGTGTAGGATTCCATAATAATTGACCCTTCTGATCACCTCTGATCTGCCCAACTGCTTCTTTCTTTGGGTTTGGCTCACGTATTCACAAAATCATCACACACACACTCACTCACTCACTCACTCACCCACTCACCCTTTTCGTTTTCAAGATCAAAATCGACTTGGTTCACTCATTAAAATCCTTCAGTTAACAGAGAGCATCACCATTCACCACTCTACTACTCTATCACCCACAAATGGGTTCTTCTCAAAACCCCCATTTGCTTCACCATTTCACCATTATTTCTCTTCTATTTCTATTGATTCCATTCACAACCCAACTCAGATCCGTAGCTCAAGGTAAATGGGTATCACTCACTTTCTCCAAAATCCCCCAAAAATCCATCTTTTGTCCATCTTTAAACAAACATACATTTGACTTTAACTCTGTTTTCTTCCATCTTTTTCCCATTAATGGCAGGTAGAATGCTGGTAAAACAAGCCACCCATTCCCAGGTAAGATCTCAACTCACTTCATGTTTGGTTATTTCCCACTTGTTTTGTGGGAATTTGATGGAAAGAATTGGGGTTTTTGTGAAGGTGGAGGGGAAGATGATACTCAGAGGGCAAATTGGATCAAGACCACCAAGATGTGAAAGAAGGTGTGGTTCTTGTGGGCATTGTGAAGCCATTCAAGTGCCAACAACACCACAAATCAAGACTCATGGACCAAGTTGGGTCAAGAATCCAACAACAGGATCAGCCACAATTGCATATGCAAGAGGTGATTATAGCTCAAATTACAAGCCAATGAGTTGGAAGTGCAAATGTGGGAGCTTTATCTTCAACCCATGATCCAATTTTTATTATAAATTGATTACTATAATTAGTAAGTGTATATAAATGAGGGGTAGAGTACTTGTTCAAGATTATCTAATTCTCATACCTCTTTAAGCTCTGCCTTTTCCTTATAGGCCAGATTTTTTTTGTAGTGCTTTTAATTGACTCTTGATTTTTTTTGGAATTAATCTTCTGATTAGTATTAATTTTTGTCATAAATAAATAGACATTCTTGAAAACCATATTAAATAAATATTATTATTTTTACTTGATTTTCATTTTAGATGTTTAAATGCAATGTATATTTTTGTTTTACAATTTTTAAAATTAATTTTTTTTATTTAAATTGATTTTTTAACAACCACCCATATATTTTTTTACATTAATTTTCAAGAAATTCTATAAATTATTAAAAATTAATTATTGATTAAATTAAACAATTATATAATTCTTTTTTGTATCATGGTACCACCATTTTTATCTGCTAAAATATTTTGTTTTTCTAAAAGATATAATTCACAAAAGCAAGAACTGTTAACCCATCAATAATATCAACTTTCAAAAAGTTAAAATAAAAGTTAACATTTAAAATAAGAAAATGACAAAAAAAATGAAAAAAAGAAAGATTTTTTATTCATCATTAATTCAGGTCTTTGGAGGACTGAACCCATTATATTATATAAATCAAACAGATTATTTTATTATCATTTCTATTGATTAGTGTTTAGTACATCTAACCAAACACCTTCTAAATGTTACTTTCTCATTTACAGCATCTCCAACAGTTTATCTATAATAAAAAAAAGTGAATTTTTTGCTCTCTAAAATTCTCCTACAACTTTGTTATCTTGTTTCTAAAATAGAAATCACTGAGAAAACTCTAAATACAGAGAATTCTCGAAAATTTGATGTTGGGAAAAAGAATGATTATTTATTTCAATTCCACTAATGAGATTGAGATTTTATTTTTATAAAAAGTTTTTTTTAAGTGTATTGAGATGATAAATTACATAGTATTTTAGTACTATAATTTATGTTAAAATTTCTAAAATAAAAAATTTGTTGAAAATAAATGTAATTGTTTTTAGAAAATTTAAGTTCGGTTCTCCATCTTAAAAAAAATTATACAAACATTAATTTTTTTTTGATTAACCTGAATATCCAACCCGTTATGCACGCCGATTAATCCCAGAGCGACCACCTGCTTTGCAGATAGCTCGGAGTCACCGCATTTGAACCTCTGTGGCCACAATGAGATTTTTATTCCCACTTGGATTTGAAGATAAAACCTCCAGATATTTTTAACCTTTGAAGCCAAATTTAAATTAATCAAACATCAGTCTTGTGGTTTTATAAAAACGTTAATAAAGATGCTCTAATGATTACTTGTTACTAAGACTGTATGTTTTTTACTTTAAAAAAATATATTTTTATTATAAATATTTATTTTTAGGCGATGAAATAAATAATAAAGAGAGAGAGAATAAAAATCATTTTAAACGTCATATTACTTTTAAAATCCCAAAAACAAGAAGAAATGGTTGGTTGGAGAGTTGGTGATAAAATTAAAAGAAAGGGAATATGTTCGTAGAAAAATAAGAGTGGGTAGCGTGTAACAGTAGGATATAGACGCCGTTAAGTCTCTATTACGTTTGTCGTTTTCCCTTTTTCTTTTTATTTATTTTTCTTCAAACAAAATATCATATCGAATATAATAATATCTCAAAAAATATATTTTTTTCTATTATTTTATTTTTAAAATTCAATAAATACAGTAAAATTAAAAAAAAATGTTTAATTAAAATAATAATTAATTTATAGGGATGTCTTGTAGGGGGTGCCTAAATACTAAATAGAGACTAGCTGTTTGGTTTACTTGTCTTGCAAGTCATTAGATCTTCTGGGAATTGGGTGACATTTCAAATCTCAATGCTAATTACGATTTTACAATAATATTCAGATTTTTTTTTTTACTATTTTCAATTTTTTTTTTAAACGGCGTAAATATATAGAAAAGAAAAGAGAGGCCACGAGGCAAGGAGCTACGGCAAAGCCATCACCCCAACCAAACGGACCCGAGAAAGAAACAAAACTAGCGAGAAGCTAGAAGGAGAACAAGAAAACAAAAGAACCGACAAGAAACAAAACCCAGAGGGAACCCAAACACAACACCCAACCCCACCAAAACTAAACAAAGCACCAACCACTAAACAAAGCACCAACCACGGGAAGGAAACTAAACCAAACTATACGGATTGTCACACCAAGAACTCCACTGCACCACGTTCCAGATTTTTCCCCGGTGCTTCATCCAAAAAAACGAGAGCGCCTGAATTTCAGCAAAAAAAACAAGTTCCACGTTGTTGAGACGAATCCGCAAAAATCAAGCTATTCCGAGCCTTCCAGATTACCCAGAAGTAAGTGTAAAGAACCCCGATGAAGACCTTTTTAGTATCCCCTTTAAAATTGAGAATATCAACCCAATCGAATAACCGAGGGTAATATTTTTAATTTAATATTATAAATGAATAAATAAAACATAAATATTTTTAATCCAAGAAACTTGAGATAAAATGTGTAAAAGTGTAGGTTATATTTGACAAACCAACTGATAAACTAGTTAATACTGATAAGTTAATTGATGGTTAATAAGTTAGCTATTAGTTGATTAACTGAATATGTTTGGTAAAAACTAATTCGTAAGCAAGTTGAAAATTTTAAAATGACTAAAAAAATGTATTTAAAAATTAATGAAATTTAACATTTCATTTAATATTTAAAAACAATTCATTAATGTTATATTATATTAACTGATACAAACTAGATGGTAAAAAAAATAAATAACAAAATATGTTAATTAATAGATTTCAATTTGATTTATTAATTATTTTATATGTGGATCGAGCTGGGTCATGATTGATCTGGAGATCGAATGTCTTGCGACATAGATTTGGAGGACTAAATCTGGAGGTGAGGATGGAGGGGAGAGTCTGGAGGGAGCGATTAAGAGGATTTAAGTGATTATGTTATCATTTTTTTTTCAGAGCAAATTAAGAGCTTTTCAGCTCTTATTTATATAAAAAAAACAAACGGTGTGAAAATAAAAACGTCTGACCGGTTCAGACTTAAGAGGCATTAAGTGGTTTTTTTCAAAAAATAAACAAGCCCGGCTATTTACCTAAATGCTTGCCCAGTAAACATTTACCGTTGTAAGTCAACACTATAATTTATTTTATGGATAAGATCGTAATATATCAAAAATGGAATGATATGCAACAATTTACTTGGTAAACACTTACCCGGGTAAGAGTCGTTACTCTCACTTACCGGGTAGGACTCTCTATCTTTATGATCACTCTTACTGGGTAAGATTATTGGGTGTCGTCGTGTTCATCCGGTGAGAAAAATTACTTGGTAAACACATATCGGGTAAACATTTTATAAACGGCCCCTATGTCATGATTTACAATAGGTTGCATGTTTGATTCTCACTTCTAGAAAATATTTAGTTTTTCATCTGTTCAATTTCGGCTCCAAAGGCTAGCCTGTAAGCCCCACAATGTTATGACTAAAGACATTAACAGTAAAAATACAGCTACAAATGTCCAACTCACAACTTCGAATATAATTATAGACATAACTACCATTACCTCCATGTAACTTTTTGTTTATTTTTATCGTTTTTATTTTATTCCCTTTTTCATGATTTATTTCTTTTCCGTTGCATATTCATCTTAAAAGTTGTTATTTATCTCATTTTCAAGGCAATGCATATTTATTTTCAAGGTAAAGGTCGATTCAATTTGAAAAATGTACTTTATTTCCTAAATCGACATAATTGACTTTTCTCGAGTCAAATAGTTACTTTGTGGATCTTTGATTCACCTTAAAGTTCTAACAGCTCAGATATTATTTGGGACCGTCGTTGTACGGATCCATCTTGTCTCTTTTTGTTTGTTTAAAAGTGTTCAATTTTTGTATACTTCTAGAGGTGACAAAATTGGTGTAACATACAATTTAACTAATAGCTAAAAACCCAGCAGGTTTGATGACAACAATGCATTAAATATGGTTATAAAATCATATTATTCAACTGATATAACCACAAATATGGTAGCGTAATGGATAAAGATAAGAGAAACGATAAAATCAATCTGAGATCAAATCTTGTCAACTACATACGTAGTTATGACTACCGAGAGATCAACATCAGAACTGTAAGCAAAACCTATTGCATGACTTATTATGGAATTAGCCAAGGCGAATCCTGAGATCACCCATTTCCATAATAATATATGATAATATAGTTTTTTTTTCTTGGTACAAGAATTTATGTATTTGAATCAGATATTTATTAAACTAGATAAACGGTTGAGATTGTTACATTTATACCAGTGGTTGGTTTATAAATAAAACTATATGTGTAAATAAAATAAAATATTATTATAATGATTTAAATAGTAAATATTTATTATACATATCTAAATCAAGAAAGGGAAGAAAAGTTGTGTGGACAAAAGTGGATGTAAAGGAGTGAGATCGATGGGATCACTCATCAACCACCTCCCTCCACCTTTTGTCTTTCTATGTCGTCCTTTTTCCTTCATTCTTCAAACTCTTCTATTTAATAATATTAAATTACTTTTATTTAACCTTTTTTTTTCTTATTCGGTTTGTCTGTTGTTCAATAAAACACCTGATACGATGTAGATTAGGAATTTAAAACATGTAACATGGAATTACAGAATCCAAACAACGTACAGAAACAAAACCAACTTGTACAAAAACATGATATGTTAATTAAGAGTATATGTCCTCCTATCCCTTATTCCTTCTCACTAGTGGCGAATCCAAGAAATTAATGGGGTGAAGGCACGTTTCATACAAGACAAGGGTAAAAATAGAAAATTTAAGCTAGTCATAAAAAACGTTTTTGATCTTTGACTGAGGCCTTTCCCTCCAGTCCTTAACAGGGACGGACCCAAAAAAAATTTTAAATGGTGGCACTATTTGACCATAAGAAAAAAAATATAAGAATTTTTTTTCAAACGGATGCACCGTTTGACTAAGAAAATGACACTAACATGATTGAAACTTGGGTGTGGGGTGGAATAAAAGTATTGCAAAC